ACAGAGCAAGGAGCCCAATACAGGACTCGACAGGATCCCTGGGATCGTGACCTGAGCTGAAGGCAGGCAGAAGCTTAACCGAATGAGCCACCCAGGCGTCCTTTAATCTTTCCTTTTTGACTTCTTTCTCAGTGCTACCCCTAAAGAAAAAATATAGGACCAACTAATTCACACACAAGGGTTCAAACTTGACATGACAACCACCTCAAGAATACTTTCATTTTTAAAAAAGTGTAAAAGAACAATATATAACCTAAACAAATACATCTCTACTGACTTAGCATGGCCACAGGGGCCTCTTAACTACTCAGGCAACAGTTAATTTCACCTGCATGAAGCGCAGGTGGCCAGCAGTAATTTCAGCTGGAACTTTTCTTGGCCAGGTGTCTGGTGTGCATTACTTTATTCATAATCAGAGTATCATGTCCTCAAAGCTGGATCATGATCCTATTCACTGACGGTATAGACAGTGGACATTCACTCATTCATTCAGGAAAGAATTGTCGAGCTACTAGGTCTCAGGCACTGTTTGAAATTGCAGGAGATGAGCTAATCAGATACCATCCTGGCCTTAGTGGAGCTTCCCGTGTAGTAGGGGAGATACATGTTAATCAAATAATCATATTTATTCTTTAAATAACACATGTAAGTTATTTTACAAGCTGTCATAAGTGCTTAAGAAAGGAGAAGTATCGGAGTGTTATAAAGGCATATAACAGGGTACCCTGGGACCCTCTCAGTCTGGGAGGTTGGGAAAAGCTTCTGAAAATGAGGACACGTCCATCCCTCTCCCCAGTCTTTTGGGTAGGAGAGCTAGGAAATCTGGATTGCCCTATTGCAGGTGTGGCAGTGAAAATTAGTCATACCAGGAATTGTTTACCAAATAGCCACTTTTCTCACTAGTAGAGCCTAAAGCCCAAAGGATTGCATTCTTGCTTTCCAGTTTCTTTCTCGGCCCGTAGGAAATTGGCTGAACCAAGATGCACTTCAGTGGGGAGAGCCTGTGGGTTTTATGCTGTCCGTTTGTGAGCACTAGGAGAACACAGCCCGTTCTCTGTGCCCATGACCAAGCAGCTGGGGCTGGCCTTGTTCTTCAGCAGAGCCTCCTAACCAGTGTACTGTGGGTCCCCTCCCCTCTCGAGGTGGTAATTAGGTGGCCAGAGCCCCAAAGCCAGATGTCTTCTGTTTACTTCAGCATGCTCTACAAATACCATCTTTCATGTTTTCCAATACAAGACAAAGGTTGGAAATCACTGCCTAGCAGATTCCTGGATGTGCCTTCTTCCTCCGAAAGCTCTTATGGTGGAGCATCCCTAGCTGTGGATATGTCTGAAGGGATTTTCCTGTTTCCCCAGCCTGCACAGATGTCTTCCAAGGAGAGTACTCTGGTGTGGATTGCTGTGAATGAGGATGGTGTCAGCATCCTGGACCACAACACTATGGTACTAAAGAATAAGGGCTGGCTCTCTGACCCTTCCTTCTCCTGAACAGTGCCTTTTCTTCTCCTCTGTAGACTCAAAGGCCTGAGCTAAGTGACCATGGTTTCCCTACCCACCCCACCCAAGCCTTGCTGTCCTCTAGTCTAGACACGGCTTATCGACATTCAAGATGTAGATCTCTACATTAGGACCACTTCCAGGTTCTCCCTTTCTGGTTAAGGCTTCCCGTGCCTGGCAGAGACAGTGGCTGCTGGTTCAGCTCAGGAGGCAGCTGGGAAGTCTCCCCAGAACTGACTGGCTTCTTCTTGCAGCAAGTGCACATCACTTACCCCTACTCTTCAGTAATGACCTTTGGCGGCTGCCGGGATGACTTCATGCTTGTGATTAGATCCATTCCAGACCAGAGCTCTGCGAAAGGCCACATTGAGAAGTTGCTCTTCCGGATGGCTGCTCCCAAGGTGGGTCTGACAGCTGCTAAACCATGTTACTTGGATCTCTCTGGTCTGAGGAGGTGGGCTTGAAGTGAAGGTAGGAAGCTGGGTTATGACCGTACTTGAGAAGGGCCCTGCCCTAGGTAAAACTTTGGTCTTGTCTATAATCAGTCCTCCAAAGGGTTCAGGTCAGGTTGTAGCTCAGTAGCTGCTGCCGAGCTGGCGGGTGAGGGGCCGGCTGGGAGGGCGCACGCTCTGGTCCAGGTGCTCCCGTGGTGCTATCAGCCCCCGCAGCCCGGGGCCGCACAGGCTGGAGGTGGATGCCCACTTGCTCCCCACTTGCTCCTCTTGCAGCCGACCCAGGGGCCAAGGCGGCCAGCTTCCTCCTCCACACGCTCTCTTCTCCTGCCTTCTGCCAGCACTGTCCCCAAGCGGGACAGTCTGCACGTGCTCCCCCTTCCTTAAGGTTTTAAAGTCCATCCCAGAGACCGCTTCTGCTTTAAGGCCCTGAATCCTGCTCAGTGCAGGAGATGCGAACTAGCAGAAACAACAAAGACTCCAAAACCCAAGTTCTGATTTAGTTCCTGACTCCCTTCTGAGAGTAAGTGGAAACCCTGCTGTTTTAATCCTAAAATTGGAGTTTCCCCGATCTCCTCCTTTTAATACCACCCCTGCCAAAGGAGAGGATATAGACACTTCCTCCAGGGAGGCCTGCTTCCCTGGCTTGGAGGAGCAGAGCAGAATATCGCCTCTCCTATTCTCAGGAGGGTACTCTGTGTCAGTGGCCCTTCGGACCAACAGGCACCCATTTCCCTGGGCCTCTGAACCTTACAGAAATGATCCCGACATTTTCTCCCAGGTATTTTTATGAGGTAAGAAACCGAAGCCCAGGAAGTTTATGCACCCAGTGTAGCAGCTAGTATGTGAGAAAGCCAGGATTCAAGCCAAGGCCAGTTCAATTCCTTTGTTTCTGTTGTCTCAAGATTGCAGAGGCTACGTTCATCATGGCCAGCTACATGAACCATTGCTCTGCAGCTGTGAAGCCCCCCACCAACCCACCTGCTGCCCACCAGCTATGGGAACTGGACGGACAGCAGTTCTTTGCTTCTGTTCCCTGTGCTGCCAGAGGGCCAACGTTGCTGTGAATGTTTCTCCTACCCCTTCCCCGCCCCCGGCTCCGAACCTGGTGCCTCTGGGATCAGAGATCTGTATCCTGGGGTATGATCTACTGTGATGGGCCTGACAGCCCTCCCCCAACCCCACCCTGTTTGTTCTATGAAATGTGTATTTCAGTGTCCATGAAACCTTTACTCTCTAGGTGCCTTATGTTTCAGGGCCCAACTTTTAAAAATCCAGACCCAGTATAGAAACCACTTTTTTTCACCAGAATACTGAGCTCTGGATGCTGCCCGATTCTAGACACAGACTGGAATGGTCCACTGTTACTGGTTACTGAGGGCATCAGTGCTGTAAATCAAGGCTTTCTGCACTGATACTCAGGGAAGGCTAGTATCTTTTATATTGTACATGGTCCTTATGTGGGGACTTATACTTGAAGTTTTCCCAACGTCCCTGAACAAGATAGGAATAAACTTTCCAATTCACCTGAACTGTGACAAAAGCCTGGAACTCCCTAAAACTGGACTTCCATTCCCAGATGGGAAAGGTATTGGCAGGGCTGGAGAAAAAGGAGTAAGACTCACCTTTTCCCTTCCCCACTGCAAATGAGTAGGCATTTGCAGTGCCCCTCTGGGGCAGCAGCTCCTGTCTTTACAGGACAAGGAAAAGGCACTATCCCTGCTGAGGTTGAAGCTGTTCCCCCTCACACTGGACTGTCAGCCCAACTGGGTACAAGCAAGGGCAGGGGTAAGTCCAACATGACCTCATTTTAATGACTAGACAGGGCTCAGTGAAGGCTGTGCTTCCTACTGTAGAATGGGTGGTCGTCACTTGTTTCCTTGTTCTTTGAAAGACCAAGCAAATGCACTGGTTTCTGCTGCTTTGTGAGGCCACCAAAGATGAGTCAGAAACAGAATCCAATCTTGCTCCTCAAGACTTCTAGCGAACTTCCGCTGGGAATTAGTCCAAAGGCAAAAGGCACATAGGCTAACAGCATCCTGGTGATACAAATATCTCCCCATCCCCAACTAAGACCTTATGTTGAGTGTGGAGATGATCTTTGTCTCCACCCTCCCCTAACAGAAAAACAGACGAAAGAGTTCATTATACTCTGATTTTCCAGCATTGGAGAAACTGAGTTTTATTTCATAGCTCTAAGGCAGTCTGAGCATTTGTCAATAACGTGCTGAAAACTGTATGGGTTTAGCAGTAGCATTTAAGAACCAAGCCTTTGACTTCAACAAAGTGTGTGTGTGTTGCACACCGCAAAAACTTCCAAGGCTGGAACTAGTTTATCTGAACACCTCAGCTGCTGTAGGCTTCCCCTCTCTCACCCTTTAAACTGACAAGCATGATTAAAAAAAGCACATGAGAGTGTCTCTTTTAAATGAACTTGACTTTGCAAGGCTGGAAATTTTACAGCCATCTCCCATTTCCACTGCTGCCTTTCCCCCAGAATTTGGGAACTAGCTGAGACATTTCTACCTCGAACAAGTCAAACATCACATGTACCACAGGCTCCGAATAACCCCTACTGGGCTGGGGTAAAAGGCAGGAATTAACAGCTCTAGTTTGTAATACCCTTAGTGTCTCTGAAGCCCATGAGGATAATATTTTCTACCTGGGAGTTAAAAAAAAAATTAGGATCCCAAGGAAAAAGCAAGCAAGGATGAAGCTGTGTTCACACTGAATTTATGGGTCAAGCTATTTCCCCCACCCTATCTCCTTCCCAGCCCTTCAGGAATCCTCCCATAGTTTGTTAATTTTACACAGAAGAAACTGCCTTATAATCAAAGGCTTCTACAGTTTGTGTGTTTATCCTTCTTTAACATGTCTGGAAACCAAAGTTGAATTTCTGCCCAGCCTTTCGTGTCGCCCCTCTTGGCAAAAGATGTTTTTGAAACCATAGACAATGCTGAGTTAACAGTAGAGTATTAATGTGCTTGACATCCATGGCTGAAATGCCATGCTCGTGTTGTCAATAAAAAGCAGCTGTGAACCAGGCAATTACTGTGTATGTTTTGGAAGGAGATCGGTTTATTAAGACAGTCATCATAAATTAACCCTGTACAGAACACAGGAGCTAGGTGGACAGAGACTAGTCTTTTGTAGGACATTTCTTCCTACTCACCAGAACCTGAAGGGCTTGACTTTTATACAGGGGTACTGTGTAGTTGGAAATTGTTTCTTAAGAGATCTGATGTCAGTTTCCCATTGCCTTCCACCACAAATCTCTACAAAGTGTAAACCTGAAGGTGCTTAGGAATTTCACAAAGCGCTCTTTGTCAACGTTACTTTTGACATATCGCTTAAGGTCTCCCCTCAATTGATAAAGTAGGCAAAACCTTACAAGGGGATCACTAAAATAGACATAAATACTTTGCTCAACATCACACGAGTTAGGTTCCCAGTCACCTGCTCTATGGCTCTGAGATCCACTGCATCCATACTGGTTCCTAGGACTGTGTCCACCTGATGGTTTAGAATACAGAAAATAAACCAGCCACTATGGCTTAGGAGTCATCGCCCATGGAAGACAATACTGGCCTTCTGAAATGCTGGGACTCATGGACTTGCTGATGTGGCTTTCTGGTGTGCCAGGATCTCCTGGCAGCTCCTGTACACTTCAATCAAGCAGTCCAGGCGGGGCTTGGCACTCTGAATTCCAAAGGGAAGAAATGCAGAGTCAAGATGAACATAAGAGAGAGCTCAGCAGTGCTGCATCCATGTGCAACCTCAATCTCTCCCCACAGCAGGGGGTCTAAATGGCTCAGGTGTGAGCTCAGAGAGGCAGAAGTTCAGGCCACACAGCACCTTACTGGCTAAGAAAGCAAGAGGAATAACACAAGACAGACCCTCTTGGAAATGTCACAAGCTGTGAAACAGTCTGCAAGGACAAGAAGGGCAATTTAATATGTAAATATTGAAAAGTATTTTGTACAATGAAATGTGATACAACCAAAATTAAAAGAAAAGTCACAGAATGGGAAAAATACATGTGGGAAGCATATTTAATAAAAGTTCATTATCCAAAATATATAAGTTGTTACAAATGCATAAGCAATATCTAGATTCTACTTGACTAACAGAGGAGATGGATAGTTTAAAACAAAGGAAACACAGATAGGTAATTCAAGGAAACATGGAAAATCTCTTTGTCATTTAAGGAGCAATTTAGTAACTTTAAATTCCTTTACCTACATACTAAAGGAAACAACTAAACCTGCTGTTTTAGCCAAGACTGTAGAAAAACAAGTACAAATTCCAAAAAGTATGGTAAAGTTGTCCAATCTCTGGAGCCAAATCTCAAACTGTAAAAATCTATGAAATTGTTCATCAACATTAATAAAATAATTTTGAACGGTAATGCAAAAGAGTTTTGGCTTAGCAGGCTTAAATCCTTTGTGAGAAAAGGAAGGGCAGTAAGGCACAGTTAACTATATAAACACTTTATATACTTATCCTGTTTGTGTAAGTATTTTTTGTAAGAGCAAGACAAAAAAATAACCTGGAGATGATTTCAAAAGCTAGCAGTAGAGTGGCTAAATAAACGATACTCAACATGATAATACAACTATTTAAAAGGATAAGTATAATGGACTCTGTAGATGCATGAAAATATGTATATTGGATTTAAAAAGCAAGGCATAAACTGGGTATAACAGTATGTGTAGATCAATGACATCAATGTAAAATCTTATACTGGCAGACTAACAAAGTAGAGGAATGGTGATTTATAAGCAGAAATTGCTATTTTTTTCTCTAAAGTTTGGATAAATTTGTAGTATTTCTGAAAGCCTGTATTTGCTTCAGAAAGAAACTTCTGAAATCACTAATTCTCACTAAAAATAGCTGTCAGGTGTCCTCAGATAATCTTGACAAGAAGAGTTTACATTCCTACTGAACATTAGTAGCAGGAGAAATGCAGAGGACGGGGAAAGGTAACAGATTTTTTTTGGAGAAAAAACTTCAGATAACTGTTCTGTGCTCACCTGGAAGACAGGTACTACTTGGGATATCCCATGTGGTTCCATTGGATCCTTCAATAAAATGCAAAGGTAGTAAATCACCTTCTGCTGTAAGAAAATAAAACAAATAGAGCCCTAAGTGAAACTTATTTTGTTTTCTTTTTCTTCAAGGGAAGGCTAAAAACTTTTTTATAAATGGTTATCTCTTAGTAGAACACTTGATTGCTTTTGAAGTGAGGGAAAAGTATATTCTCATTCTTTAAATGAAAAACAATGAAACGTCAGCAGCAACAACAATAAGAGATGATTTTGAAGCTGGGCTAAAAAATAAAGTCAAAATGCTAACTTACGATCTGTGAAAGCCTGCTAAATCTCTATAAAAATAAAGGAATGTATCTTTCCAATAGAAGTTTCACTTTAATGGTTTATGGACATGCCATCCAAAAAGGAAACACTACAATACTGGAACAGAATCTTCAAGTTTAATTCTGTAACATCAAGGTATTAAGACTCAGTTTAGATCCAGGGAAAGGCATGGGCTATCTCCTCCAGAGAAACCTGTAATACTTACTACTTAACTACTTACCATGTAAATAGCCTCATTGATGACCACATCCTTCACCTTGCCCATCTCTATGAAGGTAGTGCTTTCTTTGCCTGAGGCATAGGATGAAGTCATCTGGATGCCAAGGGAGTCAATGATTAACAGAGTCTCCTGATCAATCTTGACAAAATGGAGGTAACCAAGCAGGCCTAAGAGGGTGATGAAGATGGCAGCAGAGAGTATCATGCTGTTCTGAAGAGAGAGCCAGACACAGGCGGTAAGGTCACCAAATGGTCCTCCACACAGATCTCTGCTATTTAACTGGTCCACTCTAGGCAGTGTGGAAAAAAGCCTGTGTTCTACTGTGAGTTGAAAAGATGGAAGGAACATGCATGGAGGAAGGGGAAATCACTTTTATTTCAACTCTGTAATGCTATGAAAGCATATGATGAAATACATCCAGACAACAAACGGGTAGGTGTGGGAGGAAAACCTCCATCACCAAAATAGTATCTACCATCACACCACTCTCAGAGGTTTTTCTTCCAAAACTGAAACTTAAGGACTCAGATCTTTTCCTCTCATGCTCCATCAGCAGAATATACATTGCAAAATCAGACAGCATAATAATAAAATGCTTAGCACAGTGTAGCAGATAGTACTCAACAGCTACTCCTCCTTCCTAATAGAACTTGGAATCATGATTGGTTCCCACTGCCAATGATTGGTTTAGAAATGAAACATGACATAACTCTGGCCAATGGGATGTGAGGGGAAGTCTGCTGAAGGGGCCTCTGAAAAATGGAAGTCCATCTTAAAAAGAGATCTAAGGAAGAAAAGGTCCCTTCCTCTTGGGGTTTGATGCCTGGAACTACTATGGAACTACGCTACTCTGCCAGACCATGCAGAATGCCTGGCCAAGGACGAGTACACGAAAGGTGGAGGAGCAGTAACATGAAAACAATCAAAAGGCCCTGAAGAGCCTCTTAGGCCCTCAAGACCTACCTCCTGACTCCTTTTGTTAAATAATAAAGATCATATCATTTGGAGCTCTTTTAGTTTTTTTGGGTTGTGACTAACTGATGTGTGACTAACTTACATGTTAAGGGCTCAAAAGGTATTTATTCCTTTGATTCTAAGACACATTTACAATCTTTTAACATTTCTGAAGTTGAATGTGTTTTTCTATGGATGTATTTTCTTTTTATGTGCCATTATTATTATTTTTTTTGCCCCAAAAAGCTATTATTTAGAAGGATAGGAGAAAAAAAATCACTGATGACCTAGAAACAAAACAGATTCAGTAATTTATGACTGTCATTCCTTGATGGCAGGAACTATCTATTCTTTATTACTGACAAGATGCCCTCTTTGACCTAACTCTAATCACACTCTTCTAAACCATCATCCTTGGTGTCCATCCTTGTTGGGCCTGCATTGCCCAGCAAGCTGTACCAAGAATCTTGCTAAGTCAGTTTAGAGAGAACCCTTGGCATCTGATCACCTTGGCCTACATTTATCAAGAATCATGTCAAGTTAGCCAGAATCTCCCTTTACCCCTGATGTTTCCTTTTAGTCATTTTCCATCCACTGACCGCCGCCCCCCCTCCACTGTGCTCTTTGGCTATAAGTTCCCACTTGTCCTTGCTGTATTCAGAATTGGGCCCAATTCTGCACTGAGATCACTCTTTTCTCCTACTGCAATAGTTTCTGAATAAAATCTGTTTTTACTGCTTTAACTACTGACCGCCCCTGGTGTTCTTTGAAAATACTTTTCTACCTCGTTCTACCTAACACAACAGTAAGTGTTGGATCAAGAGTCTGTTTGGGCCTGTGATCTATTTTTACCTGGTCCACCCTGAGCTAAGAATGGTTTTTACACTTAAAAGAGTTGTTTTAAAAAGAAAGAAAAAGGAACAAGACTATGAGACAGAGACCTGTAAAGCCTAAAATATGTACTATTTGGACTTTTAAAGATAAAGTTTGCTGACCTCTGTGCTAGGTAATTACTTGTTGATTAATGAATGGAGAATGGAAAAATCTATGTGCTGGGTCTCTGATGATCCAGAAATATCTACTCTGAGTTAATTAAATGCCTAGTATCTAGTACAGTGTCTGGTTCATAGTCTGAACTGAATAAGCATTATGGAAGAATAGAAATAAAATTCAGTCCTGGCCCTTACAGATGTGTAAGCGGCAAAATTAATACATATAAAGTATTTTTGGAGAATACTATGAAACTGACTGTAAGTGCCTAAGAAAGGATTAAAAGAGAAAGAGCAAGAAAGAGACATCAAAGCACACAGGATATCCCATGAAGACTTCCAAGGAAGAAGGATTTCACTGGTACAGAAGAGGTGGTGGTTACTGACAGATATACTTAGTTGAGAAAAGGAAGGGGGAAAAGCATTCCAGATTGGAATAAATAAGGCAATAACCTGCAATTTTAATATAACTGTGAATTCAAAAACCAGAAGGAAAGAAGGGATAAAGAACAGTAAAAGTGAGGGGATTTCATTCATATCAGCTTTTTACTAAGGTAATCCCTGCCCAAAACTTCATTACCACCTGCATTCCTCATACTTCATTTTTCTGTCTGAAATTCTAACAATTCAATATTCAATGGGGCTGAAATTAAGCCACATGTTTTTATGAATTCCTTCATTTCTTCTCACTCCTGAGAGTCATTACTGACAAAATAGTTTTGAACACAAAGACATGAAACTTTGGTACACAGAGCCCTCATACATGTTGCCGTGGAGTTTAAGGAAGATAAGGTTACTGAGTCGTGGACGCTTGATGGAGGTAAGTGGGGCATACGAGGACGAGAGACAGTACAAAAAGGAGCTGGCATAAAAACAAACTTCTATTTAAAAATTTTGCCTAAGCAAACCCTCCCCAAAGAGGAGACAGTATAGTGGAAAAGAAAGGGTTTCAGAGTCAGACAGCCCTGGGTTGGAAGCCCAAGTATGCCGTTTACTAGCTTTGTGACTTTGGGTAAGTTATTACTCATTTCTAAGCCTTAGTTTTCTTCTAAGGTTAACGTAAGGCAGTCGGGGCATTTAATTAGGATCTGTTCCCTCCCCCTCACATGACCACATGGCCAGAACGCAGGCTAGTATTAAACTCAACTACATTATAAATTAAATCTTTTTAGGGGGAAGGAGGAGGACTGTCCTGGCAACTTAACCATTTCAACTGACTTTTGAACAAACTTTTAGACAGCTTGGTACAAATTACGGCAGTCTTAATTCTGCATGTATCTACACCAAATTTCCATGCTTTGATGGTAAAAACGCCAATGAATGCATTAAAACAAGATCCAAATTATAGAAATAAAAAGCCCTAGCTCTGGTCGGATCACTCCTGGAATAATAATATTCAATTTAGAGCACCACATACGAAACTAAACTCATCCTGAAAAGGACAATTAGGATGACTCCTTTTATTTGAGGGCTGTCACAAAGCTACTGCACGTGACCCTCACGATACTGTGACGCTGGCATGGCAGAGAGCAATTCCATTTTAGACGTGTGAAAACCGAGGCTCAGAAAATAGGAATGAGCCTGGAAAGTGAGCACAGAAACAACTTCTCTCCAAAACTTCCCAATTCTTTAGAAAGTACTTGAGGTTGGGGAAAGAGGGGGGGGCCGATTGCCTTGAAAAACATTAGGAAGAACTATCAAGCTCTTGTTGTGGAGGCAAAGGCCGTTTCTATAAGACTACATAAGGTACTGTTAGCAGTGATTCCTCTGAGGAGTGGAAGTGGTGGATGAGGACGATCCACTTAATAGTTCTCTGAAGTCTTGGAACTGAATTACTGTGAGCGTGCTACGTGGAGCACAGGCAAGTTAAAACCTTAGGCTGTTGTTACAGGGCTAAATGTACGCTGGGTGGAACCGCAGAGCACCACCCATGAGAGGGATAAAGTACAGGTGTAAAAACTTCACAGCTGTCCAGCGGCGGAACCAGCTAGTTCCCGCCCTCCGACTCAACAACAGGAGGTCCGGGCTCGAACCTCTGACTCCAAAGACCCTTCCAAACCCCAGCCCCCGACTCGGACCGCAGGAAGGGGCCGACTGGCCATTACCTCGCAGAGGGTGAAGAGTCCGTAGGCCGCTAGCCACACGGTGCAGGTGACAGCGGTGAGCGAGCGCAACGAAAGCCGAGGGCAGCTGAGGCAGAACTCCCGGCAGGACGGGGAGTAGTAGCGGCGCTGCAGGGCCAGGCGGCCACCGCAAATATCCGAGAAGCTCCGCTCGTCCTCCATGGCCGGGTCGCCTCCTTCCCGCCGGGCCGCGCCGCTCTAGTCCGCCCGCCAGCGTCCTCTCGCCGGCTCTGGACTCACTTCCGGGGAGCGGCGTCGGCCTCACCTCACCTCGCCCCGCCCCGCCCCGCCCCACGCTCCGCACAGCCGCAGTTCCGCGTCGAGAGTTGTGGCTCGGGTGTACGGGCTTGTTTTCCGCTCCCTGGCTCGTCCGGGTTTCTGCCATTGTCCGACTACTCCAGAGCCTCGCAGGGGTCTAACTAAGCGGGCCGATTAAAACCGCTGTTAACGCGCTTTCGCTCGGCAAACCGTTTTCTATTTCTAAGCCAGAGTACGCCCCGAGGAGACAGTCCACAGGTATACGCTCATTCCATTCATTCATTCATTCATTCATTCATTCCTGGGCCAGGTAGTTCTAGGTGCTGAGGATACAGCGCTGACCAATATTGAAGGTCTCTGCCTTCAAGTAGCGTAGTTCCTAGTAAGAGAAACAATATGGAAATAACTTCAGAGAGTGCTGCTGGCAATAATATGACGGGCAGGGGTGGCTTGGGGACTTGCAAGAGGGCGGTCAGGAAAGTCTCTCTGAGGACACTGGAGCTGCACGGATGAGGAGCCAGACTGGTCTGGGAGAGCTCTGGAGGAGGAATTTGCCAGGTTGGAGGACCAGGAAAGGCAAAGTCCCTGAGGCTGGAACAAGGTTGACTTACTGGAGGAGTCAAGAGGCTGACAAAAAGAAACTGCATTTGGAAGTTGGGGAGGTAGGTGCGGGGCTCAGATCCTAGAGGGTCTTGTAGGGCCTGCTAAGAAGTTTGGATCTCACTGGCTGGGAGTTCTCTCTTCCCAACCGCTGCATGGAGCACTGAGTAGACAGATGAGTCCTGGCTAGGTTAGTAAGAGAGGAAGATGCATAGGGTGTGGATAATAAAATTACTAAACTCATGAGTAATAGCCTGCGGGTTCTTCTTTTTTTTTTTTTTTCCTTTGGATGTGGCTCAAGAGTGGATTGTGGCCTGTTAGAGTTATGGTGCTTCAGCCCTGAGGCAGCATCATGTATTAAAGAATTGATCCCTCTGTCTATAAAGATAAATGGCATAACAGTCTCAGCAGCTTTAAGTCTTTCTGATGAAAGTCAGGTTCCGTTTTTCCATCTTCATCCAGGATTTTGTTTCCTTTTTTTCCCCTAAAGGATAGTCTTCAAGTATTGCTGTTTTTCCAATTTTATTTCTATACCCTGAATCTTACCAAGCAATACTGTAAATAACACGTGATGTCTTTTAAAATTACAAAAGTGATGTTTGCTTACTGTGGAAAATTTGAAAAATACAGAAAAGAAGAAAAATTTAAACCACCCATATTTCCACCACTCAGAGAAACACTGTCTATGTTTTGGGGGAACCTCCAGTCCTAGAGTTCTTAACCTGAACTCCATGGATAAAATCAGAAGTTTATCTTTAGTTTCATTAACTTCTAATTGAAATTTAACCTTTTTTTTTTTTTTTTTTTGGTTATGAATGCCGGCAGCAAACCAATTACTTTAGCAATACTTGTCACTCTGATAGAAACCACAAATATTTTCATTTCACAATAACTTATCTCAAAATGTCATTTCCATTCATCACTACTTCAAAATTGCAGTAATTATTAGACCTCCCCTTCTATATCTTATTAATCTGTCAATAGAGACACATACAATACATATTAAAAATATTTTGATAACTGTATTTTAATTCAGTTGTTTTTTTAAATCCTATGTATTGTATTCATTTTAAAAAACATTATAGTGATAAAGTTTACCAGACTTACAGAGGGTCTGTGGCACAAAAAAGATTAAGAATCTGTGCGGGTTCAGAAGGTTCACAACTGTAGATCACTGAAAGAAAAAAAGGTACCTAATGTACTTAATTTGAATATTAAATGATTAGGGATAAATAGTGTGGTAATGTAATTCCAAAATCCTTATAACTCCTTTGCTCTGTCAGATCACAATGTCATCTTAACTCTGTTCTGCATTTGAGACCTCAGTAGAAATTGAAACCTGTGTATTTGCCATTTAGCTAGATGCCATCTGGGACATAAAGTGATAAATTCTCATGACCATGACCGAATAAAAAGAGCAACGAGGGAGGGGCACCTGGCTGGCTCAGTTGGAAGAGTATGTGACTCTTGATCTCGGAGTTGTGAGTTCAAGCCCCATATTGGGTGCAGAGATTACTAAAAGAAAATAAATAAGCTTTAAAATAAGAGCAAGGAGTGTTGATTTAGCTCTAAATGTTGGATTTCAGGGGCCTCTGGGTGGCTCAGTTGGTTAAGCGACTGCCTTCAGCTCAGGTCATGATCCCAGGGTCCTGGGATCGAGCCCCGCATCAGGCTCCCTGCTCGGCGGGAAGCCTGCTTCTCCCTCTCCCACTCCCCCTGCTTGTGTTTCCTCTCTCGCTGTCTCTCTCTGTCCATCAAATAAATAAATAAATAAAAAATAAATGTTGGATTTCAAAGTATTAATAAGCATCAGCAAAGAAGGGCAGCTGATAAAAAGAACTTAGACTTACCAATTAACAAGTTTCTCCAAGAAAGTTTACTATCTTTTTGCAGGGTCACAATACCCTAATGAATTCCATTGTGGAGAAGCAAAGAAAGGAAGCTTGAGAAACATGTGTACTCTGTATTTGTCAAGATACCCTGTTATTTTAAAAACAAAACAAAAACACAATTTCAGAGGCTGAACACAAGTGTTTATTTATTACCTCTCTGTTCCATGTGGATGCTCGTGGTCAGATAACTTAGAATTTCTGCCAAGAGGTAATTTGGAGACCCAGACTTCTTCCAGATAGTGGCTTTATGATCCCTTGGGACCTCGTCATGCTTCTCTCCATTGGATCCTCTGTATGTGGCCTACAGATGAAGGGCAAGGATGGAGGATCATGCATGGGAGGATTTTAGGGCCAAGCCTTTCACCCTCATCCCACTGGCCAGAATTTATTGACTTGTCTATACCAAACTTCAAAGGAGGCTGGGAAACATGGTTTATCAGTATGCCCAGAGGGGAGAGAGAAATGATTTGGTAAGAACAACTACTAGCCAGTCTTGGCTACACTTTCCAAAGAGTACTGGCTACAAGAAACAGAAAATAGATTTGAGTGATTTGAGCATTATGGTCACAGTACACAGAACTAATCTGACTAAATTTTAGTAAGATGGGTACTTATTTCTACTAGTGAAGTTATTCTTGGAATCTGAGTATCTATGAACATGAATAGTAAGTAAAAAAAATCTGATCGAGGTGCCTGGGTGGCTCAGTTGGTTAAGCAGCCAACTCTTGATTTTGACTCCGGTCGTGAACTTGGGGTCCTGGGATTGAGCCCTGCATTGGGCTCCACGCTAAGTGGGGAGTCTGCTTGAGATTCTCTCTCCCGCTCCCTCTGCCCTTCCCACTTGTGCTCTCTCTAAAATCTTTTTAAAAAATAAAATAAAATAATCTTTAAAAAAAAATCTGATCAAACAATTCAGTTAACTTTTTATTTTTATGGCCCATGCTGGGTTCTTAAAACCCTTCTATAGAACCTTCTTTTTTAGTATTTGCTTGCACTTAAGGATTGAGTAGTTGTTCTAAGAATACTGTCTCATACTGTAGTTTTTATTTATTATTTTATGATAAAGCATTAATGATTGCTGCTATCATGTCAACTGAGAGTAGGTCTCCTTCTGCTTAGGACCACTTACCTATTGGGGAGAAAAAGCAAAGGCCCATGTAAGTAAAAAATTCCAAATAAATAGGGTTAATAAAAGGATAAGTATTGTCCATTATATCTCAATTTTATAAAAAGCCAATGAAAAGAACTTATAAAACTTGTTGCAGTTTAGTAAAGTTGATTGAGAAAATAATTTCCTTTGCATTAAAAAAAAAGATAAGTGTAACACATTTCATCTTTCTAGTTGGGGTGTATCACCCTCCTGGTGTGTGGATGTGTTCACCAACCTGGAAGCTCTCCAGACCTCATGCTTTGGGGATTTTCATGGAGGTTTCATCATGTAGGCACAATGGACCATTAACCCCCTTTCTAGCACCTCTCCCCTCTCTGGAAAGTGGGGGATGTGGTTGAAAATCCCAAGCTTCTAATCATGTCTTGGTCTTTCTGGTGAGCAGCCCCTACCCAGGAACCAACCAAGAATCACCTCATTAGAACAAAAGACCCTGCTGTCATCCAGGAAATTCCAAGGGATTTAGGAACTCTGTGTCAAGAACCAGGGTCAAAGACCAAACACTAGAACAAAAAATGCTCCAGTGTTCTTAGGAAATTACAAGGGTTTGAGAAGCCCTGTGCCAGGAACTGGGGGCAGAGACCAATGTACCTATTTTCTATGATCTCACAACAACTTATCACAGTCTACTGATTTCAATGATTTACTGGTTCAAGTGAAGTGTAGAAACCTTACCTCTGTTTACCCTCCCCCATTTATAATTGCCTAATATTTCCTCAGATTCATCGAGAACCCCATCAGACAGTGACCTAATTTTCATTTCAACCATCAAACATAATTTAGGAAACTCAAGAGGTGAAAGAAAGTCTATTAGTTTACTCATATTTTTGCTCTTTTCATTGTTTTTTCTTCCTTCTTAATGTTCCAAGATTCCTTCTTTTGTCATTTGCTTTCTGCTCAGAGACCTTCCTTTACCCATTCTTTCAAGATAGGTCTGCTGGTGATTTTTTTAGTTTTCTCTTAGTTTTCTCTCATCTGAGATTGTCTTGAGTTCCCCTTCATTTGTGGAGGATATTTTCCCTGGATATAGAATTCTTGGTTGACAGTTTTCGTTCTCTTTTTTTTTTTTTTTTTTTAAGATTTTATTTATTTGAGAGAGAGAGAGAGAAACAGCATGAGAGGGGAGAGGGTCAGAGGGAGAAGCAGGCTCCCCACTAAGCCGGAAGCCCGATGTGGGACTCGATCCCAGGATTCCGGGATCATGACCTGAGCCGAAGTTGCTTAACCAACTGAGCCACCCAGGCACCCGGTTGACAGTTTTCTTTCAGCACTTGGAAAATATTGTGCCACTTTCTTCTGGTCTCCATGGTTTCTGA